CTTCAGCCAGAGGCAACACAGGCTGTAAAATGGCTTCATTCAAGAGTTGGAAAAAGTTCTCTTGGAGATTGAAAGTCTCCTTCACAGTCATATTTCAGGCTCTGAAACTCTTCCTTCCAGGCTCAGGCATGACCTTTCCACAGAATTCTGCAATGGTTTGGGTTGGAAGGGACCTTAAAGCCCATCTCATTCCACCCCCTGCCATGCACAGGGACACCTTCCACTAGCCCAGGTTGCTCCAAACCCTGTCCAACCTGGCCTTGGACACTTCCAGGATTGGGCAGCCACAGCTTCTCTGGGCAACAAATCCCCTAAATTTGATGAGGGACACGGACATGGATCTGCAGCAATGTTAGGGCTCAGCCACAGCTGCAGCTGGTCCAACGTGGGCAGGAGATGCCATAATGCAGAGAGTTCCTGCTCAGATCCAGCTGAAAAATGGTTTTGGAGCAGTTTCTGACTGGTGCTCTCCCCTCTGTGTGGATCATGTTGTGGATGGTTTCTGCTGGTGGTTGCCACCAGCAGTGCCAGGGACATTCAGTGAGAGGCTGGAGAGCTGGGTTTCTACATGCTTACACAATAAATAGAAATAAAATGCTAAAAGGCTCGTTTACAGTCAATTCTAGGAGACCTTACCAGTGCCATCTGTCCCCTGTGTACAGACAAGGAACCTCTTGGAAAGCAAACACAGCCCCTACCAACGCGTCAATTGAAGAGTCAACACATTAGCTGTGTTCAGCAGGTCCCTTCTGCTGGCCCACCCACATCTCACTGACCCCTTTTTCCTTCAAAGTGACCTTTGGCAGCCTGGCTTCAGCTGGAAAATGTGGATGAAGCGGGTAACAGAGGGTTTGGTGTGGGAATTTGAGGCCGGAGTCAAACCCTGGGGAGATGTTTTACCTCCAAGTGAACAACTCCAGCAAATGGGCTCCTCCAGGTTCAGTGGCACTTAGTAAAAACCCATAAAATCCCAAACCTGTATAAAGGATTTGAATTTTTTTGCACCACTTGAACACTCTAAAGATCTTACTCTTGCTTTCATGGCCAGAAAACATGGATTTCGGGCTCTGGAGCAGTTCCTTGTCCAATATTTAGTTAACAGAAGCCCCATCATCCACCCTAGGATAGACTCTACTTCAGCTGCAGAAGTCAAACACCATGTTTTCTAAGCCCAACTCTATTTAAGACTGTTTGTACACTTGTGGATCATAATCTGGGGTGGGAAATAAAATCAGTGTTGCTCTTGATGCTTCGCTGCTCTCTTGTTTTTAGCACAACAAGCTTTATCTTTAATTTTTCCTCACAGAACCCTAGAATGGTTTGGGTTGGAAGGGATATTAGAGATCATCCAGTTCCAACACCCCTGCCATGGGTAGGGACACCTTCCACTAGCCCAGGTTGCTCCAAGCCCCATCCAGCCTGGCCTTGGACACTTCCAGGGATCCAGGGGCAGCCACAGCTTCTCTGGGCAACCTGTGCCAGGGCCTCACCACCCTCACAGCCAAGAATTCATTCCCAATATCCCATCCAAACCTTCAGTTTAAAGCCACTCCTTCAGCTGGCTTCAGTGAGGTTGTAAAGTCTTGGAGTCCGTGGTACATCCCACAGAACGCTGTTGGGGAGGAATTCGCGGCTTATCCCAGGGAGCCGTGCTGAGCTGCAGGGATGCTCCGGCATCACAAGGATGTGCTGCCTCTGCCATGCCCTGCCGCCGTGTGCTGTTTGGAAGCAGCTGCCTGTATCCTTGTAACCCTCTTGACAGCGTCAGGAACAACTGAGGGACTATAAAAAGTCTCTTTTGATATCAGATGGTCAAGCCTTGGGTCGACTCCAAGAGATTGCTTCCAGGAGCCGGGCTTGGCCCGGAGCCCTTCTCCCGGCCTCCCTGAGTGGTTCCAGCTGAGAGGCTCCATCAGTTGCTAATGCGCCATAAATAAACATCAGAGTCTAAACCTTGCTCCAAAATACCAGGGGAACTCCTCGTTTTAGGCTCTGCTGCCTGTTGTCCCCCGCGCGTGACCCCGGTTGTCCCAGCAGATTCTTCCTCCATGAGGTAAGCTGGCTGGGATAAATGGGAATGCGTGGAGCTGGCTGGATTCATGCTCTAGGTATTTATTGCTAGAAATGGTCAAAAAGTTGGGCAGTGAAACTGGTGGGTGCAGGGATGGGGTTTAGTGGGGTGATGTGTATGTAGTAATAATAAATCGGTGTTAAATTAAAGCTGAAATTAAATAAAGCTTATCTGTAAAAAGAAATAAAATAGATAAATATTATACGAATAAATATAAAAACAAACATAAATAATACAATAAATTTGGTATGTAAAATAAAATATAAATATATATATAAAAATCTGACTATAGTATATATAGAGATATTTATATGTATAAAACATATATATATAATATTGTATATATATTATATATATAAAATATATTTTAATCTATATTTTTTAAATCTTTGTATAGATTTTTAATCTCTGTATATTATAGAGATAAAGAGATAAATCTACGTATTTATCTTTATTATTATATTATCTGCATATAGAGATAAATCAACATATTTTTGGCCTGGAATTGCTCACAAGGCCAGGTTGGATGGGGCTTGGAGCAACCTGATCCAGTGGAAGGTGTCCCTGCCCATGGCAGGGAGTGGAATGAGGTGAGCTTTAAGGTCCCTTCCAACCCAAACCATTCTGGGATTCTCTTACATGATTGAAATAAATATATAAAAATACATAAATAAAAAAAAAAAGCTTAAATTAAATAAAGCTTATATAAAAATAAATAAAAATCTTAGTAAGCATCTCTAGATGTATAAATAAAAATAAAGCTTAAGTTAAAGCTGTGCCAGATGATGGTTTGTGATGGGAGACCTGCAGCATAAAAGGTGGTTAAATAGAGATGTGCCCAACCTCTGGATTCAGGAACACCAGGGCCAGTGGGATCCATCCCTGGAAGTCACCTGGATGGGGCAAGTTCACAGCTGGATATTTTCCAGCCTGTTTTTAGTAAAGAAGGATGTTGGTGTGGGCAAGCATGAGCCAGCACAGCCACATCTGCCATGGGGGTGTGTCCTGCTCGGGTCACGTGCTGGCGACCAAATTCCAGTTTTAATTATAATCCCGCGCCTGGGAGTGCACAGGGAACTCCCACTGCTGCCAGCACGTGGTGAGATCTGAGCCCTGTAACTGCCCCTCGTTAGGATAATGACTTATTGTCTCCTTCAGCATTCCTCAGGGTGGGAAAATACAGCCTGGCTGCAGCCAGCTCCTGCTCCTCTGGCTCCTGCCCGTCTTTTGCAGCAGGGATGGAATGAGGGGCTGCTTTCCATCCAAAGGCAAAGCTTGGCATGTCTCCACACAGCTGAGAATTTTGGGGGGATATGTGCAAAAACCAGAGCGAGAAACAACACAGGGGCTTGAACATGGACAGCCACCTGCAGAGGAGATTCCAAAACTCCTTCCAGGCTCAGGCATGTGCCGTAATCTCCTTTCCATAGACTCGTCATAGAATTCCAGACTGGTTTGGGTTGGAAGGGACCTTAAAGCCCATCTCATTCCACCTCCTGCCATGGGCAGGGACACGTCCCACTAGACCACATTGCTCCAAGACCCATCCAACCTGGTCTTGAGCACTTCCAGGGATCCAGGGGCAGCCACAGCTTCTCTGGAAAACCTGTGCCAGGGCCTCCCCACCCTCACAGGGAAGAATTCCTTCCCAATATCCCATCTAACCCTGCCCTCTGGCAGTGGGAAGCCATTCCCCCTTGTCCTGTCCCTCCAGGGCCTTTGTCCAAAGTTCCTCTCCAGCTCTCCTGGAGCCCCTTTAGGCACTGGAAGGGGCTCTCAGGTCTCCCTGGAGCCTTCTCTCCTCCAGGCTGAACACCCCCAGCTCTCTCATCCTTTCTTTTCTCAATCCAAGCTGTATTTCAGAACTCTCCACCCTTTTTGCAGCCTTTCCCCATTGCAGTGGGATGGCTCCATGCCCAGGTCAATGCTTTTCCAGGTCAGTTCCCACAAATCGACCGAGCCCAGTTTGGAGCAGACAGAGGGTTTTCCCCCATCCTGGTTTTCTCAGTGCCAGTGAGGGACCCCTGGCCCTGCTCCAGTCCCTCGGTGGTTTCCTTGGTACAATGGACAGTGGACTTTGCTTTCCCAGGGAGCTCCTTCCCCCTTGGAAGCGACTGCAGCAGACCCAAAGTACAGCCTTAGTGGGAAATGACCCTAAAATCCTCTTTTTCATTGCTCCCCATGGCTTAAAACACAAACACACTGAGATGCTCCTCATTTTAAACGGTTTTTGAATTATTCAGGCTGGTCTTGGGCAGGGAAATGGGACAGATTTGCTGTGAAAAGGAAACCCTTTGGTCAAAATCTCTTTAAAAATTGGATGCCTTAAATACAGGCTTTAAGGTCCAGCCTGTAACTGTGTAAATAAATTGCTTAACTCTTGGGTTGCTCCTGTGGGAGGGGGAGGACCTGGCCTGTTACCTACATGCTGATTTCCATTTCAGTTTCTGTATCTATTTGTATTTCTACTTCTATTTATTTTTATTATTTATATATTATTATGTATTATTATACTTCTATATTATTATGCATTGTATTTATATATTATTGATATTCATATTTTTATATTATTTGTGTTTCTATTATTTATATTTAACGGGTGGAAGTGGTACCAGGCTCTGCCACAGCCTCTACCAGTGCTTATATTTACATTTGAGTGTCTGTACCTGGGAAATTCCACATCTTATCCAAATGTTGTGTTACCTTACCAGCCAAGGACAGTGCTTGTTTCCTATAGGCTTGCAGGGAAAAAAGCTCTCAACTTGATTTTTAACCCTTGCAAAGCAGGAAAATCAGCCAAGGGAGATACTGAACATTGCTGGATGTTGTTCCTAATGGAAGGATATTCTTTTTGTCCTCCTTTTTTTCCACCTTTTTTTCCCTTTTTTTTCACTCCTGCTGTTATAAAAGTGGTCCATTTTCTCCCCAGACATCAGGCATCCAGAAGAACTCTCCCTTTTGAGGAAACCCAGAGATCCATCAAAGAAAAAAAAGAAGAAGTTGGATGATCAGTGCGAAGACGACGCCTTCGAGCTGGAGGGTCCTCTGATCACGCCGGGGTCTGGTGAGCCAGGAAAAAAAATGGGAGGGGGGAAGAATGGCACTGCAATATCAGTCTGATTTAATTCCTTGAGGTCTGTGCAAGAAGCAGACCCCAAATAAATGGCACAAGTCCTGCAGGGCTGCCGCACTCGGTCACGGATGCATGTCTGGAGCTGTCACGCATTTCGGGGAGCAGAACAACACCAGGCTTCATAAAATAAACCAGAACACGAGTGTGGCCACTTTAACACTCAGATCATTTTACCGAGAGGTTTTCTTAAGGAAAATCGTTCCTAATGTCAAATTCCAGGTGTGTTTTAGGCTGTACCACTGTCCTACTCCCGATTTATAACCCAGCAAGAGCAATGTTTTATTAATTGCATTAGCGTTGCCTTATGTTGTGTGTAGCTGTGGATTTTAATGCTAAAAGAAACCCCTTTTATTGCTGTGTGGTAGTTTGCCAGTCTGAATTCCAGAACCAGAGCAGCACTGGGAAGAGAATTGCTGGTGGAGTAACGTCCCTGATTGGAATAACATCCCTGATGGAGGAATATCCTTGATGGAGTAACATCTCTTACCCCGGGCAGCAAATTGATGCAGGTGTTTGCAAGCAGAGGGTTTTTCAGCTCTGTTCTGTGGCTGCTGGAAGTCTGGTGTTTGAAGGCAAATGGCAGGAGTTTAAACCATCATTTTGGCCAAGTGGGAGCACTTTATCCCAAATGGACTTGCGGAGTCAGTGGCGCTGCCGGGCGGGCGAGACGTGTCTGGCTGCCAAAGCTCTTGGGTTTAAATCTCGCAATCTGAGGGTAGCAGGGCAGCTTTGATTTAAAAAAATACCTTGGAATTCAGTAAACTTGTATTAATTGGTATTAAATTAACTGAAGGGAAGGTCATGAAGTGTGGTTAATGCCAGTGGTGGCGCTGGGCTTGCAGGCAGAAAGGTTTTTGCACCACGATCTCCGCATTAAACCATCAGCACGGATCTTGGCAAGGGAAGAATAATCCCTGTTTTGCTCTGATCCTGCACTTTCTCCTCTCAGTTACTTAAAAATGCTTCTGGACTAGTCCCTCTCCCACTCCTGGCTCAGAGATATTGGGCAAGGCTCCAGCCAATTTTCATTTCCATTTGGCTTTTTCATCCTGAAAGTCTGTACGAAGCCTTTCCAAAAGCCAGTGTTCACAGAGAGAGAGCATCTCTGTTGGATTAATAGGAAATACTTGGCCTGCTTTGGGGGAAATGTAGGCAGAAGAGAGGGTTTTATTTTAATTATTTATTGCTCTTTCAGTGAGTCACTTTGCTGGTTTTGCTTTCCCTGTGAATGAAATCACTTGCAGCAGGTTGAATTCCTGCGCGCTCAGGTGCCATTAGATAAAAGTCGTGGTTTTAATCTGAATAAACTGTTCCTAGCGTTGTTCCAACGCCAGTCCATGTGCTGAATGCTTCTGAAAAACAAGTTAATAATTCAGGATGTGCTGGTTTTAGTGTGTGGGGATGTACTGGGTGTGTTTTGTCACTGAGCATCCCAAACCTGGCAGTGAAACCATTTAAACCCCAGTCAGCAGGGCTGCCAACACTCCCACAGGCCGTGTTGCCCAACACTTTCCATTAGAAGACCTGTTTTCACTTGTTTATATAAATTAGCCAAATTTGTAGCTATTTCTCCTGGAACTTTCCATGACATTGCCTGGCCTAGGGCAGATTTTTTAAGGGAAGCTTCTTTTGAGATGTTTCAGGTGTTTGGAGAAGTTGATGAGGAGAACAGTGGAGGGGAAGCTTTGCTCTGATGGAGCGAACACTCAGTCAGAGGAATGTGGGGGGATATCTGTGGAAAAACCTGCCCAATTTGAGGCAAGAAGTGGGATTTCTCTTTTGCTGGTCCAGTTGATGCTCAGCCCTGTGTGCTTGAGCCACGTGAAGGCTGAGACTGAGACACTGCAAGGATGGATGGGGAGGAGGCAGGAGCATCCTTCGGGATGTGGTTGACGGATGGTGTTGGTGGTTTATTGCTGGTTCTTGTTGGACTGCTCTGCTCCAGTGTTGTAACAGCCCATGGGGAGAGCACCTTTCTGCTGCTTTTATAACCATAGAATCATAGGATATCTCAAGTTGGAAGGGACCATAAGGATCATCGAGTCCAACTCCCATCGTGTAAGTACCTGGTCTGAGTGCCTGGCAAATCATCCCTGGCCTTCTCCTTGCAAGTGTGAAGCCTGAAGGGCGGTATCTGCATCCCTTCATCATTTCTGCTGCTTTTTTTGCTCATGCCTGGATCTGTCTTGATGGAGGTACCCACAGTGCTCACTGGTCCCATCCAAACCGGGATGCCAGCAAAACTAGGAGGGGCATTAAAAGCATCCTGATGGTTTTGTTTTATTTGGTGGTTTTCACTTTTATTTTCCGTCCCGTCAGGCAGTTTGGAATCCCATTTCTATATTATTTGGTGTTTCCTAGCCAGAAAGTTGGCAGTCATGGGCATGATGCTGCTGATTCAAACAGTTCCTCCCGCTCCTTGAGATACCCGTCATGAAAAATGAGGGTTTGGAAAGGTTTTTTTATTGGTTTGGTCTTGGAATTTTCCAGTCTAGCTCAGCTGTGTGCCATTCCTTGTGCAACGAGGGAGGAGGGATGGTTTGGAGTGAGGAGGAGGTGGAGCATGGCCCGAGGTGGCGGTTCAGAGCAGCAGGAGGTGACACAAATGACCTCGTTTGTGGCATCTCAACCCTGTCACTGCCTTCAACACCCTCAGCAGTGCTCTGGGAGGGAGGGTGATTTGAAAAGGACACGGCCCTTTCCCAAAAATCCAGTTTGTTGTCGGACCTTCCAGGTCCTGGTGGGCAGATTTATGTCCAGCAGATGCTGCTGAGTGAGCTCATTGCCTGGTGTACGTATGCAGCGGAATTCCTGGCATTAGGACATGGTGATTGATCCTCCCTTCTTTTGAAAATCTGGATTTTATATTAACATAAAAGTCAGTGTTCTTGTGAGATGAATAGGGGCTGTTTCATAGAGTGGTTTAGGTTGGAAGGGATATCAAGCCCATCCAGTTCCACTCCCTGCCATGGGCAGGGACACCTTCCACTAGACCAGGTTGCTCCAAGCCCCATCCAGCCTGGTCTGGAACGCTTCCAGGGATGAGGCAGCTCTCTGTTCAGCTCTCAGCTATTTTGGGGTGTGAGATACCAAGCTGTGATTTGCTTGTTTCTCTTCAAAAAGACTCATTTCAAAAGGTTTGGGCGGGTTTTTCGAATGCTGTGAATCCGTACGAGCCGCAGAGCTTTGAAAGGCCTGTGAGTAACGTGTGCTTTGGGATCAGTTTTGCACCACGTCGCACCACCCGCTCAGCACATTAATACCAAATGTGTGTGGCCATCCCAGCAAGCTTTTCCATCCGGGAAATGCCGCGTTCCCGTGCCCAGCTGTTCTTGTAACATGAGTAAAGTAACGTGAAGTCACTCGGGTTGCTTTGCTGCCGAGTCCACCAGCGCCGCTGCCAACACTCCATTGGGGTGGTTCAACCTCACCTGTGCTGTTCTGCCTCCTTCTAAAAATGCCCATTTTTGGCTTCTGTCCTTTCCTGCTCTCCGGGTGACTTTCTCTCGCCTTCTCACTTCCCTCCTTTCTTTTCCCTCTCCATAGGCACCGATATTCTTTACATCGGCCCCGTCAAAGGTGAGCTCCACCTCAGTAGGACTTTTACCCTCTGCCTCTGGTCTCTTTGGCTGCACCCTTAGTTTATTTTCCTGCTCCTCTAAAACCTTTGACTTCCAAAATCTTTAAGCAACAGGTAATACCGGTAAGTCGGGGGCCACTCATGTCCCAGGTGCCACAGAGATTCAGGGGGCAGGATTTTCCCGGCATGGGAGACCTGTGTCTTTTCCCACCGCGTGGGATGGAATGAGTTTTCCATCAGTTTTGCTCTTGGAGAAGAGCCGAGAGAGAGAGAGGAGAGGAGAGGGATGGCTTTCCGTGGGAGAACAAGCAGCGCAGTGTTTTCCCATTGTGGAAAGATAATGGTGGAAAAAGGGAAGGTTTTTTTTCATCCGTTGGCTGGGTTGGGAGCAAGGCAGGGCTTGTCCCAAAGCTAACTCCCGGCTTTTATTCCCCTTGCTGGTAGGAAATATCTATTCAAGCCCAGGACTGTATAGCAAAACGATGACGCCGACCTACGACGCCCACGACGGCAGCCCCCTGTCACCCACCTCCGCCTGGTTCGGTGACAGCGCCCTGTCGGAAGGCAATCCGGGAATCCTGGCCGTGAGCCAGCCCGTCACCTCCCCAGAGTCCTTAGCAAAAATGTACAAGCCCCAGACGCTGCTCGATAAAGCCAAAATCAACCAAGGGTGAGTGGAGGAGTCGAGGATTTGGGGGGGTTTTTTTGTGCTGATTTTAAATTGCGTCGCCGGAGCGTTTTGTGTGTGTTATCCCGTGTTGGCAATTCACAGGTGGCTGGATTCGTCCCGATCCCTGATGGAGCAGGAGGTGAAAGAAAACGAGGCTTTGCTACTGCGGTTCAAGTACTACAGCTTTTTTGACCTGAATCCAAAGGTACAGAGCTACTTGTTTCACTTGCATCTTGCAGGCAAAGGCTTGGAGCAAAGGATGCCTGGATCTCTTAACGTGCTTTTGTGTTGGTAAACCTTCCCCAAAAAAAACCCATGAAAATTTGAATGGAGTTAGAAAATGGGTCGTGCAGGAATCAAACACAGGATCTGTGCTCCCTGTATATCAGCTTCCTAATGTTTA